TGTCCATTTTTGGTAACAGCTGTTTTTGAAGTCTGTGTGTGAATCCTGCAGACTGTGCACCCTGCCACTCCTTTTGCTGGAACAGCAAAAAGCAGTGTTTTGCAATGATCCCAGAGTGATAAGACTCTACAAAGATGATGGGAGAGTTCTTGGAAAATCTTCACAAAGGATGATCGGAAGAAAAGCTAGTTGGCTTATAAGAGCTCTTAAAAAATCAATAGCATCCATGTATATGCACACATCTATATTAAATACATTATGTATGTGTGTGTATGCAAATAAGCATGTATAAATAAATGAGTACATATACATGTATGTCAGAAATGTAGTTTGGAATAGCCTCCAGCTCATGGCCTAAGAGAGCAAGAGACATATCCTGTGCAGTAAAGAGGAAACTGGAGAGTTGTGCCTGGAAAATGAGTGTTGTGTTTCTCTGAGGTGCTAGTTTTGATGTGTGTACATCTGCCTCTAGCTTGCTCATGCTTGGCATTTTTCCTAAAGGCTGCTCAGAAATGAATCTCACCCATACTGACTTTTTTTTGCCATTCTGTTCTGCTTATTGACTGTGTCAGTGGGGATTTTGACACCTAACCACTTACAGAATCTTTTCATGAGCTCCGATAAGCAGCAAAGCAATCATAGAGACATTTAATTTAATTGCTCTGTGAACTGGAGATGAGTTGATGTCCTTAAGGTGTTTTTCCATTCTTGGCAGCCATTCTTTCTTGGAAACAGTTGTATGAGTTAGCTTTGGATGAACTGTTTCTCTAGTTAATAAATCTAATACTTTCCCCTACAATTGTGTTCAGGTTTGTTCTTAAACTGAGCTTTTTTCCAATGTTATTTAGCTGTCACATAACTTTCCACGCATTTCACTCATAGTGCTCCCACTATCACTACATGGCTTGTGAGTTGGATCAGCCTTTGCTTTGTGTGGGAGTGGAAAGTGATAGTACAGAGAAAATAATCAACTTTGCACGTAGAGGAGTCAGTGGTAGGAAAAAAAAAAGCAACTGAATCAGGATAAACCAGACACACTTATTGAGCTTGCTTCTCAGATAAGCTCTAAACCTGTGCAACTCCCCTCCTTCCTGTCCTCACAGCCATCAGTACACCAGTGGATATTATCGTGTGTCTGCCTACTTCCTGGCCTTGATGTTAGGAGATCTACTGCCCATGAGAACTGCTCCAGCCATCATATTCTCATGCATCACTTACTGGATGATTGGTAATGAATTGATGCTTTCATTGAACCTGCCATCTGTCAATACATTTGATATCTGACTTTGCCAGAGTTTAATTCCTCTATCTATAAATTGAAACAGACTAAACCTTCAACTTCTGAGGAGTTGGTAGCAGAGGTACCAGCAATCTTAAGACAGGACCTGCTTGTCCATGCCTTTCGGTAATGCTCTCTGGGACCTTTCAAGCATTCACAGCTGCTGCCAACTCCAAACTAAATCTTTTTTCTTGCTTTCTGTGTCTTTTGTGTGAGTACAGTGGTACATCTTTGGGACTTGTGATGTGGCTTCTTATTGGACATTTTTCTTTCTGCTTGACAGGATTTCAAGCTATAGCAGGCAGATTCTTCTTCTTCATGCTGGCCCTGGTAATGGTGTCCTACACTGCTACAGCCATGTCTCTGGCTATCAGTGCTGGGATGGAAGTGGTTGCTGTGGCCAATCTGCTCATCACTATTTGTTTTGTCCTGATGCTTGTAAGTACAGCTTGTAAAGGTGTGTGCTGCTCTGGTGGAGGAAACAGCCTTCAGAGCACAGATGGCTTTAGGATCCATACTGAGAGGACTGTCTCATGTACTGAGCCAGCCCTATGCATGCTGAGAATCCACAGTCCAGTAGCTCATCAGCCTGTGCCTGAAATTTTGTTGTTGCTGTAGTCAAAGACTTGCCTCTGCTTGTAATCATAGGCATAATACTATGAAGAGAGAGAGATTTATCTATCACAGTGTGCCTATATATCTACTATAATATCTGTGCAGGAATGGCATTGTTTGTAGTAAACTGAGTTGTGATTTATAGTCTCTTGTTTTCTTTCAGATCTTTTCTGGCCTCCTTGTTAACCTCCCTTCTGTAATGGGCTGGCTTAATTGGCTCAAGTACTTCAGCATCCCTCGATATGGCCTTACTGTGAGTAGAATGTAGCACTAGTCTCCTGTAGGTAAAGTAATTGCAGTGCTGTGTCTTAGAGAAGTTTGGGCATCACTGAGGTGTTTTATCAGTTGCTGAATGTGGAAGTGCTCCTTAAGACTGCAGTTAGCCCAGGGCACCAGTGCAAAGGAACCATTCGCTTCTTGCCTTCACTGACTGTTCCACCTGCTTCAGTGTGCTGGTGCTGGGTTGTCTGCATGCAGACATGCCTTCTGAAAGTGCAGATGGACTCAGATAAAAGTGGATAAATGGGGGCATGTAGCTGGCAAGACAGAAATCCATGGCTACATCACTGAATTACAAGTCTGAAGCCACAGATTCAGACACCAAACCATCCTGCGTGTTGAACTTGGAGCAGATCCTCAGAAAGGTAGTAGTTAAGAACTTCAAAATAAGGGCTGGGAACTATTTTTTTTTGAGTCACTCCGTTCAAGTCTAAAAGGTACATATGATTCCAAGACTGATGATACATGTCTTCTATTCATCAGTTTCCTTTAAGTTGTTTCAGCTTTAGCACACCAAATCACTATCTGAAAAATCTGACACCTTCTTCCCCTAGGCTCTTCAAGTGAATGAGTTTAGAGATCTCTACTTCTGTGGTGACAAATCAAATATTACAGTGTCTGTGGGAAATGCAAGCACTTGTCCACCAGTTACTTCAGGAGCAAGGTAAGTCTACCTCATGAAGGTTCTCTGAATTGTAATGGCTTGCTTAAGGATTAGCCAGGCTATTTCAGAACTTTATATTACTCACAGGATAACTATTCACAAACCAGTCTCTTCAAGAATTTGTAAAAAAAAAAAAACAAAAAAAAACCAAAAAAAAAAACCAATGTATTTTAGGATTATGTAGCCATTTACCCCAAATTGAAATAGGGATGAAACTTTTCCTAAAAACAGGCAGATTAGCTAAATTTTGTTGTTGATAACTTGGCTCTGGGTTATCAGTTTTATTAAGCAAATCCCAGAGTTAGTTATCAGTGGAAATACAATGTGTATACAACTAGAGTAGAAGTATGAAACAGTAGATTAGTGATCAGAAACATGCCTATCCTTCAGAGCTTGTTAATATTTACAGACCTAGCAGCAGATACAGCAGAGAGCCAATTTCCTTATTGGAAATGTTCTTGTCTACTAGTGCATTGAGTTGTAGCAGTTCCAGTATTTCATGACATGTGGTAGAGAACTGGTAAATTGATCTTATTGGAAAGAGGAGTGCTAGAAGACTTTCTACAGTTTTTGGACCTCAAGCCCTTACTATGGGCCTCCAGCAGTTGCTGGTGTGAAACTAAATGCTTTTGTACATATCACAGTTTGATGTGGTTCTGAGTCTTAACTTAAACTGCTAGTTATCTGTAAGCAACAATTAGCATGTTATGGGATCATGTGAAGAATTATGAGAACCAGGAAAACATCTGTCCCTTAACCTTTCTTTTTCCCCCATGATAAGTTATTAAGTTAATCTCTTTCTGTCATGTCTGTTTTGCAGTTATGGATAGAGGAATCTTAGTGCAACAGGAAAAGTAACTGCTTGAAGACCTATGGTATCTTGTACAACACAGTAATACTAAATTCTGCCCCTGTGCTTTTTTTTTTTTTTTGCAGGTGCTCTGGTGAAGATTACTTGATCAGCCAAGGAATCGCACCTACTAACATGGCAATGTGGGAAAATATAGTGGCTCTTTTATGCATGACTGTTATTTTCCTTCTCATTGCCTATCTCAAACTCCGGTTTATGAGAAAGTTCACATAAATTCCTGCATTGCCTTGCTTCACAGCTTCTCAGGTCTTAAAACTACAAAGCTTATTAGAGCCCACTGGATGTGGCCAAAGATTTCAACTGACTTTACTGGACTTAAGATGGGAATCTTGCCCTATTGTTTCTGGAGAATGATCTCCATATGATTGTATGATTTTGTTTGTTAAGAAGAAATGTATTACTGTAAGATTCCATTATTATTATTTTTTTTTCTGGTAAGAGTATATTTCTCATAATTCCTTAGGTACTTATCAAATTCTATATTGTAGAGCTGCTGTGTTGTAAAGGAAATAGGCACAGGGAAACATTTTCCTTTGAAGACATTTATGCTTTGATATGTTGCCCCTTGTGAGTGCCCATCATACCCAAGGAGAGCAAGAGACCATTTGTAGTGTGTTGGAGATGCATTCAGGTTTGAAGTCTGTAAGGAGAATGAGCTCTCAGTGCCAGGCAATAGTGATTATGCTTCTTGTAGTTACTCCATGGAAAGTATGTCAGTGGAGTAGGAGGAAGAAATGTTTTACTCTGAGGGCTGTGAGGCACTGCACAAGCTGCCCAGGGAAGCTGTGGTTGCTCCATCCCTGGAGGCATTCAGGGCCAAGTTGGTTGGGTCCTGGGCAGGCTGAACTGCTGGATGGCAGGGGCTGGAACATTGATGAGATCTAAAGAGCAGTGGTATAAGCCATAGCACCTAAGAGTGAGAAATATGATATTGTTGTAATGTAAAAAAATAACCTTTTACTACTTAAGAAGCTGTTTGTTTTTTTTTTTTTTTGAAAACAAAAAAATGTGTGTGTAGCAAATCTTTTTAGCAGACTTCCTGTTTAAACAGCACCATCTCTGTATAGTAGGTCTTAAGGCTGCACTGGAAAAGACACACAGCTCAGCCGTGGTCACTGCAGCAAAGCTTACCGCAGTCAGCACAGCTGTTCGATGCCAGCAGCTTTAGCAAGGAGAGCAGCCTCTCAGTTTCATGCAGACCCTCATCTGCTGAGCCGGGGCAGTGCAAAGCCAGAGCATAACGCCTTTGGCGTGCTCCATCCTTCTCTCCGATTTGATGGGTGGACTGTTCGATGGATGAGGAAACGATTGTGAGATCAGAGGCAGAGAGCTGGTCGGTGGCTCGCTGTGCAGATGAAGGTAGGTGACAAGTGGTGTCCATCAGGGACCGGCGCTCTTCAACATCTTCATAAATGACAAAAGCAGTGGAGCCGGCAGAGGGTGTGAGGTGGTCCCGTCGCTCTGCTTTGGTGACACCCAACCAGGAGCACCGTGCCCAGATGCGGACTCCTCAACAAGGGAGAGACGCGGATGTGTGGGAGCGCTTTCTGAGCTCTACAGCTACCGCCGTGCCCCGCTGTGCGCCGCAGCGCCGCCCGACCCCGCGTGTCCCCGCAGCCGCACAGCGCCCCCTAGCGGTCGAGACCCGGCGGTGCGCGAAGGAGGCGGCGTCACCCTGCTCGCTCGGAGTCGCGCGTGCGCCGCGACGGCGAGGGGGCGGGATCGCGGCCTTGCGCGAGGGCGACGGCGGAAGCGGGCGCCGCGGGAGGGGGTCTGTCGCCATGGCGACCGCGGCGGAGGGGCTGCCCGAGGCCGGCGCGCAGCCCGCCAAGCGTAAGGGACCGGGGGGCCGGGGCCGACCTTACTCCTTGGCCGCGCGGCCGCTGGCGGTCTGTCAGACCGCGGCCCGCGTTCGGCCTAGGCAGGGGCAGGCAGGTTGGGCTGCGGGCTGGCTGTGGGCCGTCCGTCTGTCTGTCTGCTGGCTGGAGGCGAGAGTGCAGCCCCACTCCGGGCCTCTGGAAACCGAGAGCCTTTGCCTTCAGGCCGGAGGCGAAGCAGACGCGGCCGTGAGCTGTGCTGGTTCTGCGAGCGGCAGCACGGGGGCCGTTGTGGGAGCGGGTTTCTGTGAGAGAGGCAGTGGTTATCGCCTTCTGTGGCTGGAAATCTGGTTTTCTCCTTGTGAAGCTGGCCTGGGGCAGCTCTCGTGTTTTGAGGCAGTGCCCAGAAATAAAGATCAGCAGCCTTGCGCCCAGAGTCCTTAGAAGCTACGTCCCACGAAGGCCCACCCCCAGGCCCTTCAGGAGGGGCTGAGCTGTGTAAAAGAGCAGTCCGGACGGACGTCTGCCCCTTACACACCTCCTGCAGTGCTTTAAAGTAGCCTTGATGCTCCTTTAAGAAAACAGCCACGGTTTGTTATCCTTTAGTGTAAAGGAGATGATTTGTATGGAAGGTAGGTCAGTATAAAAAAGTAGCCCCAAACAGTGGGTCTGTTTAATTCTTGTGGTCTGTGTCTGTACCTGCTGACTTTCTCTGATCCTGTGATGTCTGTACCCTGATCAGAGGATCCTGCTGTTGAAACAGCAGAGGAAGCTAAGGAACCAGCAGAAGCGGACATCAATGAGCTCTGTAAAGATATGTTCAGCAAAATGGCCACTTACTTAACAGGTGAACTGACAGGTAAGGCATCGCAATGCTGACTTGCAGGTAAATTTCTGTTTCTTTTCATTTTCTCTTAAGAAACTCTGTTGTGTTGTTTGTATAAACTGTATGTTATAATATCTAGCAAAACTGGCAGTTCAAGACTTACATGTTGCTAGACTGCTAACAACGCTGCCATTAGTGATTGGTGACTTAATGAAGTCCCAGATTAGTACAGATATTTTTTCAAATATTCAGTTTATCAGCAACCAGAACGAGTTATTTTTCTGTTCTGTGCAAGCTTGTGCATATTGTGGGGAGCTGTAGGTGAAGAGGAACAGGAAGAAAAGCAGAACTGAGAGTGGAACATATGTAGTTATTTCACATCTGAGTGAGAGCACAGATCGTACATACGTTTTCCAGCATTCATGCTTTAGAATAAACTGTGGAAAGTAAACTGAAATGTCAGTTTCTGGAGATTGATACTGCCTTAGATCATTGCACCATGGGAACTTTTTAAAGCTTTTAAAGTTGTTTATCAGTTAAAATTGTAACATTTGGTAACTGTTCTGTTTGTCCTAGGTGCTTCATATGCTCATTTTTAAAGGTCATAGTGTTGTCTGACTGCTTTGGTTCTGTGTCAGGCAAGAACAGTAATTTAGGTTGGAAGGTACCCCTGCAGATCATCCAATCTAAGTTCCTGCTAAAAGCAAGAAGGACTTAGCAGTTAGATCACTGAAGCAAATACCTGTTGAGCTACTTCTTAAGGCTGCTGATATCTCTAATACCAGTATCCTTCCAAATTACTGTGCGTAGAAGATCTGTTATTCCTGTAACATGAATAGGGAGCTGGAAACCTTGTAATTTGTCTTCTGAATATCACTGTATTCTGTCTTGAGATTCTGGATCAGAGTGACTTTGCTGCGATAGGGAAGAATATCTGTGAGACTGAGAAAGTACTGGGATTGCCCAAAGCTCAATCTACATACATATACAGCATTATACTAATACCTGTACTGCCATCTAAACTATTCTTATTGTATTTGGCTGTTGCTTTGAAATCTTTTGTATTCTAGAAAAGTCTGTACCCAGTTCAAACTGCACCAGCATTTAATTAAAACAAACTTGTTTTTAAGCCACCAGTGAAGACTACAAGCTCTTGGAAAACATGAACAAGTTGACGAGCTTGAAGTACCTAGAAATGAAAGATATTGCTATAAACATCAGTAGAAATCTGAAGGATTTAAATCAAAAATGTAAGTAAACCAAATAAGGGAGGAGAATAATTAACTGTGCTCTTGTATGGGAGCTGGAGTATCTAAGATGTTGGTAGTTTACCTTCTGTATGGGAACTGCTCAGTCACGGCCTGAACCTCTGATTAATCACCTGAGGCGAGCAATGAATCAGCCCTGGGAGCACAGGTGAAAGCAATTCACCTGTGCTGCAGGAAGGGGTGGAGCTTGGCTCCACCTCTCCTAGACCCATTTAAGAGCTGACTACCAGTGGGGAAGGATTTCTCTCTCTCTCTCTTCGGAAGATCCACTCCACTGGTCTTTCCTGAGCGAGCCCACAACACGGGTAAGCATCCTATTTATTCTCTTTGTCTCGCTGTGCCTAACTCTCTTGCTTATTTCATTATTATAACATCTTAATATTATTTGATTATATAATATTCCTTTATATATTTTCATTGATTATACACCTTCCAGGGGGTTCTGAAGAAAAAAAAAAAAACTTACTAAGAGCTATATGTTGTTAGAAAACACCAATCTTCTGTATTTCATTACAGCTATAGTTTAGTCTACGTAGTCTAAGAGAGCTTATGTACTGTATTACCCCCAGATTTTGAAATAATAAGGATTAAATAATACTACTTCTGATATACATTGTATTGTTATTTGTGTTGAGTCTCACAATGCTCTTAAAGATTTCATCGTATGCTGGAATACGTCTATCAGTACTACTCTCTGATTTTGGAGTGGGAAAAGGAAGGAGCTTTTAAAGTATTTTATCTGAAGAACATAATGAGAAATTGTTTTGAGTGTGAACTGTTTATTGGAATTGAATTAGTAAGAACTGACAACTGTTATTTTTCTGGCTTTTAAAGATGCTGCTCTTCAGCCATATCTGGAACAAATCAACCTAATCGAGGAGCAGGTTGCAGCTCTGGAACAGGCAGCTTATAAGTTGGATGCATATTCCAAAAAACTTGGTAACTATTGTCTCTGCTCTTACTACATAGCAGCTTAGTCCCCCGTAAGGAGATTTTAGAAAACAAAGTAAACTCCTGCTTTGTTTAATGTGTCTCAGTGACAGAGTTGCCCATGCAGCATAGTATTGATCACTTTCAAAATAACGAACAGTAGAAGTGTATGCGAAGTAGAAAATGTTGATAAAAGATTAATGTTTGAAATTATAAGGACATAGACTCATATAGGTCTTACTGAACTGTCGCTTATTAATGAGTCTTAGTTTCTTTTTTGCAATGTGGACTGATACAAATATTCAAGACACATATTTAATCTTGCAAATGGAGGGATTTATAAAGTTCCACCAGGTACCTAAGTCCCCTTGACTTATGTTAATGTGAATTGTCTGACCTGAGTATCTAGTTCTTAAAAATCCCATTGTTTTAAATCCCAAATTAGATTTACCCAAATGCTTTAGGAGAAAGTGGCCCCAAGTGATTAATCTAAATTAAATTGGATTTTAAGATGTATAGCAGAGTACAGAGTTCGAATCTTTTACCTGTCCAGTCCTAAAATACTGTTATTTTTCCTTCTGCAGAAGCCAAGTACAAAAAATTGGAGAAACGATGAAACTACAACTGTCTTTTTAAGTTGGAGTTGGGCTGTGGGTCAGACTGATCTGAGTTGCACAACATCAGTTTTATATGTTGACAAGGATTTGGTAACAGCTAACATAAGACTGGTAACTTTTTTTTTTATCTATTGAATACAGTTGACTGTATTCAGGCCTAAGGCTGAATGGTATTTTCCTCTTCTGTAATGCTTCTGTTGCCTCAGTTCAGCAGTGGAAAGTTGGAACTTGTCCCTAACCCATGTCTTGATACTGGCTATCCCTCCATTAGTCTTATGTTCAACATGAAACATTCTACCAGGGAAAAGCCCTGCATAACCTATAAAGACATTTTCACTTAGTAGCAGCAGGACATAAACCTATTTTTTTCTTTAATTGAGCTCTGTATTGAGAAGATTCCCTGGCCTTTGGAGTTGTGAACATGGTATGGAAACATTTAAGTTTGGTATGCATTTTTATCTGTTTCAATTAGAGAGACTAGTTATAAATTTACAATAAAACAACTTGCTACATTTGTCTCTCTGGAATATCACAAATTCCTGTTGGAAAAGACTGTAAGTTGTATTTTTATTTTTCATAGGGTCTGTTAATAAAGACAAACACTTTACAGTTAATGGAGATTGTAGAAAAAAACATGCTTTAAACTCTTGTGTCAAGTATTCCTGCGTTTATATCCTTTTCTGTCCTGACCTCTGGTGAAATTATGATCACTTTAGCATGTACTTAATTAACTTAGTGCATCCTTTCCCTACTTTCCCAAAGAAGTTTCTGTGTTTTTGGTCCTATTCAATTTTTGAAGAGGTATGCCCAGCAAAGAAAACCGGATGAGCAGTACTCCAAATTACTAATTTAACAGAAACCTTTTTACTGAACACCCAGTCAAAGTTCAGGCCTTTTTGCACCTATTGACTCAAACTAGTTGAAGCTGGCTTTTGATTGGGTTTCAGTAGAGGACAGAACAATTACTGATAGAATTCAAACTTCATACTAGCTGTTTGGAAGTATTATTAGTCAGGTGCCAATATGGTAAAGATCACGACTGCCAGTTATTGTATAACTGCTGTATAAATAATTGATTGTCAAGTTTTCCTTAGAGCTATTCAAAAGCAGTAAAGCAAGACCTTTGAGAGCCTTCAGCATCACTTAGAAAGTCCTGGGTTTTAACATGGAAAGTGCTACTCTGCATGATTTTGATGTAGACTCTGAGAAAGGTTTTTTTGAATGAGTATCAGTATATTAACAGGATTAAGTCTCCCGAAGATAACCATGTATCTGTGTCTGTGTTGCTTTTGCTCAGTTAGTTTAATAATGAGTTTTCTACCTGTGTAATTAATTAAACATTAGTATTGTTATGAAAGCAACTTCCTCCAGTCCAACAAGAGGATGTAGTGACACACATCTAAAGCCTTCGTGCCTGGAAACTGATATTTGAATGACAGTAGTTTTTTTGGGATCTTTGATGTTCAAAAGTGTAATATATCAACAGCAATAAGATGGTATGGCAGAGTCCTGTTTCCCCAGCGTTTCATGCACCTGTGATTGCACAAGAGGTGAGCATGTTTCAGCCACACTCACCAGTGTTGACAGTACCATCCCTTTTCTTTGCTATTATGGAGGAGGATCACAGATCCATGGCTGCTGATAAGAAATCTATCTTGAGGGTGCTACTCAGATCCTCCGTTCCCTGAACAAACTGGAGTTTTCATTACAACATATTGCATTCACATGTGGGTGGGAACATAATTCCTGATCCCCTGCCAGTCCTCTTACCTGACCCCTATCCATCTCTAAGAACAGAAAACGTCGTAGTTCATATCAGGTTGGAAGTGGTTCTTGACATGTGGGCATCAGAATCTAGAGCTGAATAGTCATCAGATATCTTAGCAGCATAGGCTCATCTGGGATTTAAACAAGATCATTTCTCTTCCAGCCTAGTTGTTTCTTTGATTTCTTCCCTGGAAAGTGGTGCTGGAGGTACATAGCGAGTGCTAACATAGGGGAATTATTCTCCGCTGCAGAACAGCAGCTGGCCCTGTGCTATGGCAAGATTGAGGGACAGTGTGAAATGGTGGCAGATCTGCATCCCAGTGTTACAGTGTCAATCTGGCTATGTGCTGTGTAGAGCATTGTGATCTTGTCTGTGTGATAAGTCAGATGCGTAGCTCTAAGTGCTAGTGACTTGTTCTGTCACTAGTCAACAAGTCAAACAAATTCTTCTTTTGTCAGATAACATGCCAATCAAATACTGGATACAGAATGGAATGTGATACAGATGGTCTCCATACTGTAATGGCAGCGTGCTGGCAATTATGTGCAAGTCAGCTCTGTTATCAGATGTGTACCATGTTCTCAGACCTTGTGGAGACAAACCAAGTTGGGTACAGAACTGAATACAGGTCAGCCCTGCTGTATTTAAGATGCATTGCAGTCACCATCCCATTTTCCTTAGTACATGCTGTCCACATTACACTTGAGACACTGAAACTCATAGTGTTCTAAGAATCCTCTGACACTGGGATCATTATAGCAGCCTTGCTGTGTAACCTCCTGAAGAGATTGTGAAGAACTGCACTGCTCTACACACAGTTTTCTATTTATGTCATTCAATGCTCCCTACTATGGCTGCCTTAGACCCAGTGAGGCAGCTGTTTATCTTGATGCCAGGGGAAGGCGTGTAATGGAGAATATATTTCAGAGCTATTAGTTTTGCTTAAAAAAAAAAAAAAAAAAAGGTGTCATCACCTTTAATGTTTGTTCAATGTATAAAGCTCCCCCCCATGCCACAGTTTCTTCCCTAACACGTGCAATCACAGAATCACAGAATAGTTGAGGTTGGAAGGGATCTCAAAGCCAATTGCTCCAATCCCCTGCTCAAACATGGTCACCTGGAGTGGATCACCTAGGACCATGCAGCATGTGATGTTGCCACTGCCAGCTTTGGATATTATGGCAAGCAAGTTGAAAGTTTTCCTAACACAGAATTTGGATATATATTCTGCCCTGTTTGGGCAGAAGATACTGCACGTAGAGATGGACTTGCTAGCCAAGCAAGAGCATGTTCTCAGGTGCAAAAAGGATAAGGCTTGTCCTCTGGTTGGCAGAGAACTGGAAATTTATGATTAAACAGATTGTCACTGCAAAACACCACTCTGGACTGCACATGTACTAGCTGCAAGCCGTAAGCAGCACCTCTCTGAAAGATACGTCTGAAAGCTGAGGATGCTGTCACTGTCACAACTAAAACGGGATTAATGCCCTCTAAGAGAGCATCCATGCAGCTGTTATTAGCAGGTACTCTTTCTTTCTCTTCAGGATTAAGGCAGTCAAAGGGACAGAGTGACAGTAGTCAGATAAATATGGTCACGTGCCAGTAAAATCTCATTATCTCTACACTTACCTCACCCTGGGGAGTGCTGTCTGCATGGAGCTTCCTAGCCTTCCCCATACCACCTCTTTATTGTTAGGGGCCCAGCATCTGATTTGTCTTTCTAGGGAGGCTGAAGAATAGATTTAAATACACTTCAGTGACAATCATATATGTGGTTTTTTAGAACTGCTGACTTAGCCACGTCTTGTTTTACTCCTGGATGCATTTGGTGGTTGATGTGAGATTCTCTCACACGTACAAACTGACATGCTATTGGAGATTCTGGGAATCTATATGATCAAAGCATAGGAAATTTCAAAGAAAAGTAATACAGCATTTCTCTGCTTCTCTTCCTTTTTGGCAGATTTGCAAGATGGCCACAAGAGGGAGATGTTTCAGCAGAGAAAACTTCCATAAGATAAAGCGGTTAAGAGAAAGTAAGGACCAGCATTGTGTTAAAACTATTGCTTTTCTACTTGAAGAAAAAGCTGTGCTGTTTTAAAATTACAGTGGTGAAAAACTCCAGGAACTCTGAAGATGAGAACCCATGTAGCTATATGTTGCACTTAGTGTTTTCAGGTAAAAGAGTTAAGACAGTAAACTGCTCCACAAACTCCTGAGTATTGCACCTGCAGGAGGCAGAGACTGGAGATGCCTCACAAGTGACTTTTCGTTGGGAGAAAATTTTAGAAAATGAGTACCTGAGTGATTTTGTGATGGTGGCATCCCATTTATGCCAGGAGCTGGCAACTGTGTTCTCAGTTTTAAGTAACCATTCTCCTCTCTGTCTGAGGGCTCTCTTTGTGAGTGGTGGAATCCAAATCATGGCAGGTTTGGCAGGTCTTTGAAAAGCAGCACCACAGAAGAGACATGGTGAAATTCCTGTGAACAGAATATTGCTAGCAAAAGGTGTAGTCCAAAAGGTTGCTGCTCAAACATTTTGCCTGGAAAGTCCATGAGATGTCCCAGAGGAAGCACAGGGAGATGGTAAACCTTCCTCTTTTCTATGGCATTTCCTGGTGCAAAGGATAATAAGAAAATAGTAGGTGCTTGAAGGAAGAACATGGAAGATCACAGAATAAAGAGGGTTGACAGATGAGAGCCAAAGGACAAAGTATTTCATTAAAGTGATCTTTGCAACTGCTTTGAAGCTGAAAGCAGTTCTTGACAAGTTGAACTGCAACTGCAAATTGGGGATAAAACTTAGCCTAGCAAATACAGCATATATGGCTCTTTAAGCAGAAATAGAAGAGGTCAGATCTGGAAGAGGATCTGTCAGAATAATACTTTGTGTAGATGTCCAAAAAAATTCAGGATGGGGTCTTTAGTCATTAGTGGAAACTACGTGCTTGATAACTGAAAAATAGCTCTTCTACATTAGATTATACTTTTTAACCTGGAACTCTGATCAAGAGATGTTAAATGTTACCCAACTGGACAGAAGTTATCCATTATTGGCCTGTAGCTAAATATATTATGTGTGCAGTGTTGCACTTGATGGCAAACATACAAGGAAAAACAGCAATAAATAGAGAACAAACATTCTATGAAAGTATGATGAGTTTTTTTAATGAGAGATTTGTTAATGAGTAATGTTTGTCCCTGCTTTCTGATATTACAGTAGAATAAAGTGGAACATTGACAGAGGTCACGACAAATAAAAAAATAAAGCAGTTCATCCAAGTTTGCCAGCAGCTATTGATTTTATATAACCAGTTATGTTTAATCCAGAGGAAGCAGGAGCTATTGCTCGCCTTTGCACTGTTCTTATTTATTTATTTATTTATTTATTAAACCATAGCACACACAAAGGGAGATTTCCAGGATGCAGCATCAAGCCCTCCTTTGATCCAGCATCCCTGTTTCATGTTGCAGTGGAACCCCTGGGATTCACAACTATTTTCTTTACTGTTTGCATTGTTTGTCTCCTTGTCTCTTTAGTCTACATGAAGGAAGATGTCTGAAATAGGGAAGTTGCCTCCTGAACCATTTGCTTTGTGCTTAATAAGAAACATACTAACTAGACCCAAAGAATAACTTGCCTTGGTCTTCACAAGATGTCAAGGCAGTTTGCAGGATTTGTTGGGTCCAGTGGTACACATTAAGCAGAGCCTGGTCCAGTGATTAAAAAACTTGGAACTGTATTGTAGTTCTAATAATAAGGGTGTATTTTTTAAGATAAATTATATTTGTCCAGAGATTGATCAGTTGATGATGGCAATGCACTCCCTCTCTGTTGGGTATCTCATCCACAGGTACTCCAGAAAAGCCCTTCTCAGGCATGTTCTGAATCACTGCTGATTTTCTAAACTATGGTTTGGAAAAACAAAAAAAAAGATGCTGTGAGCTACATGGTGCCTTTTTTACTGTGATGATTTCCATCTATAGCTAAATTTTTTAATTCACTAGTCCCAAGCATTTTCCTCTGAGAGTTGTTATGGGTAGGTTTATTTTTCTTTTGGTGATGACCTTATTAGTATTAATAGAAGCTTTAAGAAAACATAGAATAATGGAGCAGGATAGGCAGTAAGCAAAGGTAGTAAGTAACCTTACTTCAGCTCTTTAGCTGAACTTGTGTCTGTCCTAACCAATTTCTTTATGTCTGTGTGTACCTAAAAGATCAACTTGTGGAATGACTGTGACAGCTTTGCCCACCTGCTCCTAGGCATACATCCCCAAGATGCAGAGCTTTTCTCACACACTGCTTGTGTAAAGGATTGAAGAAACAAGAGCATTGACAGAGCAAAAAACATCACCATTCTTTCTTGCTTTGTCTCATTAGAGCTGACAAAATAGAAATGATGGGATGAATAATACTCTATGACTGTGAGGTTGATACATGAATAATCACTTGAATGAGTAGTTCATAAGGACTGCAAAGAAAAGGTAGCCAGTAGGGAGAGGGAGGTGATTGTCCCTCTCTACTCTGCCCTTGTGAGACCCCATCTGGAGTACTGTGTTCAGGTCTGGCGTCCCCAATAAAAGAAAGACAGGGAGCTGTTAGAGAGGGTCCAGAGGATGGCCACAAAGATGATCAGAGGGCTGAAGCACCTCCCCTACAAAGACAGGCTGAGGGAGCTGGGCTTGTTCAGCATGGAGAAAAGAAGGCTTTTCTCCAGGCTGTGGGGTGACCTCATTGCAGCCTTCCAGTACCTTAAAAGGGAGCCTACAAACAGCAGGGGAGTTAACTTGTTACAGGGTAGGTAAGGGCAGGACAAGGGGAAATTGTTTTAAGTAGAAGGAGGGAAGACTAGGTTGGACATCAGAGGGAAGTTCTTTACCACGAGAGTGGTGAGGTGCTGGAACAGACTGCCTACAGAGGTTGTGGATGCCCTGACCCTGGAAGTGTTCAAAGCCCAGTTGGGGCCCTGGGCAGCGTAGTCTAGTATTAGATAAGGGGGTTGGTGGCCCTGCATGTAGCAGGGGAGTTGGAGCTTGATGATCCTTGAGCTCCCTTCTTACCCAAGTCTTTCTATGATTCTATGACTGTTTCATGGGGAAATATTGGTGATAGGTGGGTGGTTGGACTGGATGACCTTGGAGGTCTTTTTCAATCTTGGGCTGCTTCTTGATTGAAATGTTGTTATGCCACCTCTCTCTTCCAGACACATTTGTGTCTTTCCTTTTGGCATTATCCTTAGTCACAATTTAGCCTGAAACAACCAGATCATAATCCTAGCAGGTACTCACATACCTTCATTTTTTGTATGTGTTGTATGGATGAGAAACCATGAATTTGAGAAACTGTGCAATCCGTAAATCCTGCATGGTTTGATTTTTCAGTAGAGTTTTAACATGGCATTGTGGTGATATTACAAGTGCTATATTGTTTCGCATAGCAAAGATTCAGCTCTGTTTTCACTGCAATCACAGTAAGCTATATGCTGCAGGGAGCATGATCAGTTTGGGAAATGCCAGACCTGAATCCATAGATCTGTCTGTGTGAGTTCATACGCACCTTTTAAGTGATGTTTTAAAAATTAGTTTAGTGATCTTTACATACTTCATAAAAGCAATCAGAAGAAGCCATCTGCCATTCAGCTTGTAAATGGCATAATGGAGATCCCAGTATTATTTCACTTTCTTTTGTCACAGTGAGCAGTGCTGTAATCGCAGATTTTGTTCTGGTAGGACTAATAAGGTCAGTCGAGTCTTCTTCCACATTGTTTCTGAGAATGGAGGTTTTCTAGATCATGTCTTAAAGCCATATTCATTTCACATAAACAAGTGAAATAAAACAGTCAGATATGTACCTATTTTGGACAGCATTTGTGTATCTAAGCTTTGTGGAAAAGGGTTTTCCACTGGAACATATCTTTCAGGAATGTCAATTTGGTGCACTACTTCTTTTTAGATTTGCAGTATGAATTTTATTTTCACAGACCTTCACTATAATTACAGAAGAGACAACCCATTTGCTCAGCCATCAGATTAACTCATTCCACACAATGGGTAATGATATGTACTGGGACAAGAATACAGTAGATGGTCATGTTTTCTGACAGAATGAAGTGGTTCCATGTTGCTTTATGATTTCCTTTACAAACAGATCACAAGCATACTGAAAACACACACAGAGATGTGCCTGAAGCAGTCTCTATGAAAACCCTACAGGGCAAGCATCTTTTCAATCTGTGCTGAGAGGATCAGGTGATGGACAACAGCAGCACCAGTAGCAGAAGAATTCTTAGAGCCCACACACCCTGACACATCAGGAACTAGACAGGAACCTTGGCTGGTGATGTAAGTGCAAAGGAGAGCCTCTCTCATTCTCACTCACCTTCCCTATGCAGTCACCTACTATGATTCTGTTTAGAGCTGGCTATGCTGATTATAAGAGCAGCATGCAATTACTTTTCTTTAAAAGCATACCTTTTCTGTCCCTGAAGAAACTAGCAAATTATCTGACTGTCTCAGTCTCATCAGGATGGGCAATGACGGTCATTCAAGACTGTCATTCTAATTTGAGAGGTGCCAGCTGTCTTCACTTGTCTAACGTGGAATAAATGAGACCTCATAAGATCGGGGAATTTTTGCTGCAGAGGTGACTATGGGAGAAATGTCAACATCCTTGTGATCTACAACAGGCTTCAGAGTGAAGTTCTGCAGGATGGATGTTAAAAATAAGAATATCTCCATCCGGGCCAGACCTTCTCCTGCACAGATGCGTTTTCCTGCAAGGAAAGAATGAGAAAGAAAGGAGATGATGATGGTAGAATACTTTTGCTTGTAACTTATTTTAACCCCTGTGCCATGAAAGTTCCAAC